GCTGGTGGCCCCGGGCGTGTTCATTCCCATCGCCGAAGAGTCGGACCTCATCGTGAGCCTGGGCGGCTGGGTGCTGACGCAGGCCTGCGCACTCTTGGCACAACCCGCGTTCCAGTCGCGGCGGCTGCGCCTGTCGGTCAACATCAGCGCACGGCAGTTCCGGCAGGCCGCGTTCGTGCCGCAACTGTTCGCCCTCATCGAGGCCAGCGGTGCCGATGCACGCCTGCTCACGCTGGAAGTGACGGAAGGCCTGGTGATCGACGACTTCGACGATGCCGTGGCCAAGATGCGGGAGCTGGCGACGCTCGGGGTGGATGTCTCGCTGGACGACTTTGGCACCGGCTACTCGTCGCTGGCGTACCTGAAGCGCCTGCCGATCCAGGAGATCAAGATCGACCGCTCTTTTGTGCAGGACGCCCCCACCAACGCCGACGATGGCGTGCTGGTGGAGAGCATCCTGTCGGTGGCTCGGCATTTCGGTCTGCGCGTGGTGGCCGAAGGTGTCGAGACCCAGGCCCAGGCCGATTTCCTGAGCCAGCGCGCCCAGGACATCGTGCACCAGGGCTACCTGTTCGGGCGCCCCGAACCCCAGGCTGATTGGGTGGCGCGGCTGGCTCCAGCGCAGGCCTTGGTGTAGCCGGCCTGGCGGGCCGTGTCAGGCAAGCTGCCCGCGCGCCATCGGCTGAAATAGCCAAAAAATAGCCGCCAGCGCTTGTCTGTAGAGCACTGGTAGCTATTAATTTGTGAGCGTTTGAAGGGTAAGGCGTGAGGAGGGCGCGAACTCTGCGCAGTGCAGCGCGCCGTATTCCCGCCGCTTATTTGTTCTTGTCTTTCCCTCGTGGAATGACCGCCGTCACCGGGGGCATGGGACGGTCGGAAACACTTCCCTCCCGTGGCAGCGAAGTGTCCTTCTTGGGTTTCTTCGCCATCTTGTTGCTGCGTTGTTCGCCTTTGGCCATGGGGCCTCCTGTAAAGGTCTCGGGATGGGACCGTGCCGGGGATGGTACGTCACAAACACCGGGCCGCTGCCATGCCCGCAGCCATGCAACGGGGCGGATGCGGTGGTTGGCACTGCGGCCTTGTGCTTCGGGTGGGGGCCCTGGCGCCTGAGCGGCTGCAAGGTTCTCACACGGGCAGCACGGCGGTGGCCTCGATCTCGATGAGCATGCCGTCCAGCGCCAGCCGGGGCACGGGGATCAGGGTGCAGGCCGGAGCGCTGCCGTCAGGCCACCGCTGCCGCACTGCCTGGCTGAACAGCGCCAGGCGCTGCTCGGTGTGGTCCACGATCAGGACGGTGAGCTTGGCAACATCCCGCGCCGTGGCCCCGCCTGCGTGCAGGGCAGTCTGCAGGTTGGCGAACGCCTGGTGCAGTTGCGCGCTGAAGTCGGGTGGCAGTTGCCCTGCTGCGGCTTCACCCCCCTGGCCCGCAATGAACAGCGTGCGGGCGCGCGCTGGCGCCAGCACCGCGTGGCTGTAGCCGTTGGGGCGCGGGTCATACAGGCCCGGTGGGTTGATGAAGCGCAGTGTGTTGTGCGGGGTATGGCCGCTTTGGTCGAGGTGATTCATGGAGAAGGCGTTCATGACAAAGGAGGGAAGTGGCGTGGTGCTGCAGATGTTTTCCGAAGGCGTCTGTCACGCCGTGCGGTAGTATCAAACCTCAAGTTTTATTGAGGTCAAGCCCCGATGCTGTGACCCGCATTGCAAGGAGTTTTTCTTGAAATCCAGACAGCCCAGGGTCGTCGCCATCGCGCGGCAGGAAAGTGCCGAACTCTCGGTGGGCGAAGTTGCCAGACGCAGCGGCCTGGCGGTTTCGGCGCTGCATTTTTACGAATCGCGTGGCCTCATAGGCAGTGTGCGCAATGCAGGCAACCAGCGGCGCTACCCGCGCTCGGTGCTGCGCCGCGTGGCTGTCATCAAGGTGGCTCAGCGCATGGGCGTGCCGCTGGCCGCCATTGCCGATGCCCTCCACGCGCTACCCGAAGGCCGCACGCCCACCGTGGCCGACTGGCGCCGTTTGTCCGCGCGCTGGCGCGATGACCTGGAGGAACGCATCCGCACACTGACCGTGCTGCGCGATCAGCTCGATGGCTGCATCGGATGCGGCTGTCTTTCGCTCAAGGTGTGCCCGCTGCGCAATCCGCAGGATGTGCTGGCGCAACAGGGGCCGGGGCCGCACTTCTGACGGGGGCGGCGGCCCTTCGCTCAGCGCTCGGCTGCGCTACCAACACAACGGTGCGGCTTCGTCGCTCCAGAAGATCCACCGGCGTACCTCGGTGTAGGGCGAGGTACCGATGGAGTACGGGTCCATGCCCGCTTCCTCGCGCCGCAACTGCACGAGGTAGCCGCCGTAGCTCGCGACCCACACGGTGCCTCCGTCGGCAGAGATTTCCACCGCGCTGATGGTGCTGCCGATGTGGTGGCGCCACAGACGCTGGCCGGTGTTGCTCACGGCATGCAGATAGCCGTTGGCGTCACCTGCAATCCACTGCCCTGGCAGCGTGGCAGAGGCATACACACGCCATGAGGTGTTGATGGCCAGGCCTTCATCGACGGCATCTGCGCTGTCCGCATCGGGCTGTGGCGGTGCATCGCCCAGCGTCGCCGCCAGGGTGCAGCCGGAGTACAAATGGCACGCGTTGGCAAACAGCAGCCGGCCGTCGTGCGAAAAGGCGGCATGGTGCGGGTAGGACGACAGCGGCTCGTAGCGGCGCAGAACATGGCCCTGCGCATCGAGCAAGAGGTGCGGGCTGTCCTGATCACCCAGAGCGATATGGCGTTCGTCGGGCGACAGCGCCACGTGCAGCATGTCCAGCGCCAGTTCCGCGACGCCTTCCTCCGATTCCCCCTGGTTCTTGGGCCAGGTGTAGGGGCCGTCTTCGTCGAACTCCTGGGGATGGATGCGTTGCACCGTGCCGCCGTGCAGCAGGTAGACCCCGGTGGGATTGGCCAGCAACACGCGCTGGCCATCGTTGAAGGGTATGAGCGTGTCGCAGCGCCCGCCCTGCGGGCCGGCCTGCACCTCGATGTGGGGTGGCAAGCCCTCATTGCCTTGGGGCAGCGCAAAGCGCGCGATTTCGGGGCCCTCGAAACCCTGGTGCGTGGTGATGTGGTGGCCGTCACTCCGGGCGAAACAACGCCGGTCGGGCGAGCAGCCCAGCCCTTGCAACGCGGGCAAGGGCGTCAGTGCCATCCCCTGCACAGCCATCCAGCGCGCCGCATCGTCGTAGACAGGTCCCACGCGGGCGATCACGCGGCCATCGTCCAGCGCGAACACCGGCCCAATGAAACACCCTGCGTTCGCTGCGTGCCGCACGTAGGCATCGGGCGCAAAGGAAAAACGCTGCCTGAAGCGCGCGGCCAGGTCTTCATCCGCCCAGCGGTTGACCACACGGGCCAGTTGCAGCACGGTGGGCGCGGCCGGCTTGCGCGGTTCCTCGGGCAGGGCAGGCGTTTCGCTATCAGCTTCCGGCTCAGCTTCCTTCTCATCTTGCGCGGTCTCTTCGGTGGCGCGGTCGTCGGCTGCACCTGGGGTGTCATCCGTTGCCTGCATTGCGGTGCTGCTCTTGGCATCCATGGACAACTGGTGTGCGCGGATGGCGGCCACATAGGCCTCCCCATCGGCCTGCCATTGCGCGGAAAGCTCCAGCAGATCCAGCGGAAACACAGCGACATCGGGCAGGTCGGCGGCCAGTGGCGGGCTGCCGAGCAAATGCACTGCAGACTCGATGCGTTGTGCCTCCGCCTGTGCCGCCTGTGCTTGCGCATGCCGTTCGCGGACACGGGCTTCCACCAGGCGGTAAAAGCGCAGCAGCCGGGTGATGTGGTCGGCCGCCACGCGGGGCAGGGCGGTGCGGCTGTCGTTCTGGCGCTGTGCATAGGTGAATTCGACGGCGGGCGGTCCTTCGCGGGCCTCGTCGATGTTGATCTGGTAGGCGCTGTGGGCGTTGTATTCGTCGTCACCGGGCGCGTCGTCGCCATTCTTCCAGCTGAACTTGAGCGCGCGCGCCCAGGGCTCTCCGTCGTGCATGCAGGGTTGCCGCGCGCCCACCCAGACATCGCCCTCCCAGTAGCCGTTGCGGTCGCTGTCCCACCAGTCGTTGTACTGCTCGGTGAACACCGGCAGGCTGGTGAGGGACTCGATGTTTTTTGCCGTCAGCGTGGACTCCAGGCGGTGGTAGAGCGGGTAGCGCTCGCGGTGCTGGCCCACGGCCTTGCGGACGTAATCCAGCACGCCGCGCCAAGCGTGCTGGCAGGCCCTCCAGGCATCGGGCGCCGTCTGCGGGTCCAGGGTCAGCCACTCGCCGGGCTCCCCGTCTGCATAGCGGCGGTACACCAGCAACAGCTGCTTGCGATGCGGTACCTTGCTGCGCGCCACCAGCGCGACCAGTCGCTGCCACAGGCCTTCGGGCGCCGGCACCTGCTCCACCGAGAGGTAGAAGTCCCACGTTTTCCAGACCGTGATGAACACGTTGTCGTCACGCTGATCGCCGTCGTCGTCCACATGCCGCCGGCACAGCGAGAAGTCGGTCTGCTGGAACCAGCCGTAGGCCTTGTGTTCCTTGTGGGCGATCACCGGCGTGCGCAGCACTGCCAGGATGTTGACGATGCTGATGGCATCGTCCGTGCACAGGTCGCCGGCCAGCGGAAGATCGGCGTGGATGTCTGCGCTGCTGCGCGCCGTATTGCCCCCGGCCTGCGCGGCAGCAACCACGCGGCTGCGGTCCACCATGCTCGACAGGGTGTAGGCACCCATGTCCACGCCGTCCTGCAGCTCGGGCGGAAACACGGCTTCGACGATTTCGCTGGCGAACTCTGCGCGGTGTCGCACGCCGGGGCGCACCTCATCCATCAGGAACTCCACCTGCTCTGCGCCATGGATCTGAACACCATAGCCCAAGGTGAACAGCGCCACACGGGCCTGCAGCCCGCCATGCACCTGCACCGCGCCCTGATGGCCGTGGCCCCAGAGCAGGTCGTCCACCTGCAAGGCGCCCTGCACCTGCAGCAGCTGTCCATCGACCACGGCATTGCGCACATGGGCATCGCCTGTGACGACGAGGTGGGTGGTGCGGTGAGCGCCGTCGCTGGTCAGCGCACCGTCGATGCGCGCAGGTTGCCTTCGA